GGTCTCGGCTGATAGCAAATAGCAGGCGAATTACTGATTAAACTGTCTCACTCTATATACTCGTACCAAGAGGCAGCAAGGCAACCATGTTTAACTAGAAAAGAACTTTACAAGTCACAGTTGCAGCAAAACTGTTAAGTCCTCTAAGGGATGATCTAAATATATTTCTCGCTATGCAAAGCGAAAAAATCGGTAAAATGATGTTAATTTTTAATATATTTTTTCAAAATTTGGATAGCCCAGCCTCATTTAAAGGAGGGCCTCTAAGCTAGTGAGAAAATTGGATTACCTCGTGGGTACAATTTTTCAGATTTTTTATAAGCTAGTTTCATAGAGTTGGTTTCGCCTCATAGATGATTCTCACACAAATTAATTAATTCCTATTGCTACAACTGTATCCTGCACCTCTACCCTGTAATTACCATTATATCCTGTAAAAATGCAAATAATTTCTCGATATCAGACAAAACAATAAAAAATTGTAGCTAGTTATCATCGTAGTGCAACTAAATGTTTTCTAACAACATTCGTAGAGAATATTCCAGGAAAATTTTTTTAGTAAGCGTGCTCATTTTTTATTGAGTTTTGTCGTAGTGCTTTTGATAGTAGGAACCTTTTCCTAATACTTCCGATTGAGCCTATGATTAATTTAAGTTAAAAAAGCTCCAAATCTCGCGAAATAACTTGGGTAAAACTGATTGCAAGGCGTATGGTGTGACGACCACTACATACAGATTGCACCTAATCGAATAAGAAGAGTGTGATATCAAGACTCACACTCGATCACTCACTTCGATCTCTTCTTTATGCTTGAGAAGTGGTGCTTCCATTAGGTTTCGAAGTAGGAAATTGTCCGCATCCACTTCGAATTTGTGCCCAGTTATGTTTTCAAGGCGTTCCCAGTGACGGGATACCATAGCTTTGTTAGCCATCATCTCCAATATTGGGCATGTCTCATTAAAGTTGTCTATTGTCATGGAGAGATCCTCGTAGGCTTTCCATTCTTTAAGAGCCTTAGGCAACTTTCGGCATCTTAAAATAAAAAATAATTAGAGTTTGGATAAATTTTGATTATAATAGAAATAACTAAAGCAACATGTTAACAGATATGTGACTATTAGGCTGCCAATAAAATAGAGGAATTCCGCAACAACCAGGTGGTAATATTTGTAATACTAATTATACAAAAGTCTTATATTTCTGATAGAGGTGTATCAGAAGTTAAGAAATATTTTTTATGAAGAAATTAATTGATTGGTCGGGGTAGGCCATTGATTCTTATAAAAATTTGCGGTGTTTAGTAAAAGTTCAAATCACAAAGGCTGACTAGATTATCGTTTCTTATCGCTGATGAGCTTTATCAAAATAGATTAGGTAAAAAGAATGATGCAGTCTTGCTAAAAGAGTAAACATTTGTTTTACAAAACGTTGAATTTTAAAGAAGTATATGAATACATAATACTACAAAATCTTCAGTTTTATCCTATTACTTTACTATCAAGATATGAGAGCTTATTTAATTTGATTTTGATCTATCCAATTTCATTTATTAGAAATTTTAACACTAAATTATTCATACCTA